ATATATATATATATATGTATTTTTGTGCATCCCTGTATGTACGTGTTCAAGGCATATTTTATCCGAGGCTTTCAATTCAGGAACCGCAGAAATCAGAAATATAAGATTTTAGACAATGCTCCAAGCCTATGTGCGACCCCATAAACTTGAACCTATCTTCCACGAATAGCTAGATCCAACTACGGAGAAATGGAAGTTTTAAGGGGAAATCATTAACTTAAGAATCAGAGAGCTAGCAAATTCATATTTCCGGAAAACGTTTTTTCATATGCGGTTGTACAAACTTAAACTGAGCTCTCGCGCACGTCTATTTTTCACGCAATGATAAGAAATCCTGATTTTTTTAAAAGCAGCAACTGCATGACGACCCAAGAAAGCAAGCAAATGTCATACCAAAGCAAAATATGTAGCAACTTTCTTCGCGAAGATCTTAAACAAGGCAATATCAGCGAATGCTTCCTTAGAATTTGCAAGATTTCTTTCAATCTAAAATGACATGTTGCATTTATTAATTCTCTGTCGCTGTGTGAACGCAATGTAACATTTATTAGTCTTGCTCCTTCCTATGAGCTGTATTAAAAACATCTCATTTTCGGTAATGAGTGTTTTAATTTAGAATTATCCTTCGTGGCCTTACTAAATTGCTTGCCCTGTTTCACTTCTCGTCTTTCGCCATTGTAAAATCCCGGACTCTTTCTATTTTAACCCTGTTTTACGCAAATGGCTTTAAGCGGGCGTCTGAGTTGTTACTGATGCCGGTTAATAGCCTTTTCTCGGTTTTTTCGTATAAACGCGGGTATCACTTTTTGGCCACCCGCTCCTTCTCATTCTGGCCACATTTCCAACCAAACTACTGCACCAAGCACACGTTGCCCAAAGATTAGAAATGTGCTTCAACTTGCCGACCCCAGTCATACGTAGTTCCAGCAGCTGTAGTTGTAATAATAATAGTAGCTGTAATAATAAATGTAATCCAGTAGCTGTAATAGCTGTAAATATTCCGTGTTTCACCTCAATACAACAAAACTGGGAACACAGTGGAATTAAAAAAATTTCACAGTCAATGCAATGTCGATGTCGAAAAATCAACCATTCCGTTGTTTTTATGCGTTTTGTGATGTGTAACGTGTGTTTGTGTCCCACACTTTGTCCCGCACTTTTAACTCGGGAAACACAAAAGCTAAGCGGCTGAAATTCTAGTACAGCTGAGGGAAATTAACGGTCTTGAAGGCGACGCCTACAACCTTACCCAGACAAAAATTCCGGCCCCATGACTTTCCCTATTCGAGTCTGAACCCAAAAATGGGTGCACATTGGGTGGATGACTTCTCTTCAGCACTAAATTTCATGCTGGGCACAAAAAAAAAATCCATAGCGGCACATTCATCCTCCCTTCCCATAAATCCCGCCTACCTCCGACCAGGGTCTTTTCCTGCCAGTAACCCCCATCTTCCCCCTTACAGCACCTGAGGCTTAAACCGCCACCCCACTTCCTACTATCTCCCTTCTTCGCCTTCGCCCTTTTGCAGCCTCCCTTCTCCCACCCTCAGTCATTACAACTCGCTTCCCAATCCGGCCGAGCCCAGTTTCAGAAGTTGCTTCGCTTATCTGTAGGGATGCTGCTTTCTCTTCGGGATGCGCTGCCAAATCCAATCCTTTTCAGGGCGTTTTTTTGCAAAACAAGTTCATTATGCAAAACTCAGAGTATCTGGAGAAATCTGCCACTTTCTGGTTCCTGACTGCTCTTTTTCTCAATCAAAATGTTTCAACAAATTCATCCGACCAATTTTCATTTCCGATACCTCCGTGGATCATTGCTGCAGCTATCTTCTATTTTAAAGCTGCATCGACATCCATGTAAAAAGTGCCTTTCTTTTTCGGCGGATAACTACTGCGAATTAAGCTGTGAATTTTTTGCAGACACGGATAACCAGCAGCAAAACTAATGGCTATGCTATGTCATGCGAAATCATTCTGTTCATCAATTGCTGCCTTACAATCCCTTTACTGCCCGCTTTTGGCAAAACCTGGAAAATGTCTAGGTCGATGTTCCCTGGTCCATGCAACAAATCCACCAAGTGCTCAATGCAGAATGCCCCGATGTGGAAGCTGTCACAGTACATATAGGATTGGTGGCGTTCCCTGGAATTTTTGCCATCCACTATTTTTCTCTTTTGGAAAAAAAGGTCCGGAATACAATTCAGCGGATGTAGATCTCAAGACTACATTCCATCCTTTTGCACAAAAAATTAAGAACGCTTTAATTTTGATCGCAAAATTGACTGTTTTGATTAAAAACTATTGTGGACTTTGTTGTTAAAAAATCGCAATGATTAACAGTTCGATTACAGAATCGATTAAAAACCAAGTCACACAATATAATGATTCCTAATGAGGAATCAATACATTATATGGCTTTGATTTTTGAAATTCTTGATGTCAGATTTCTTCATCTTCAAACTGACGCTTAACGTACGACGAAACAAAAAAGAAAAACTGAAAAACTAGACAAAATCGAAACAGCACAACAATAAATCCCAAAATTTAGGAAGACTATAAGCACAAGAAAAAAATCACACCTCACAGTAGGCTTGCAGTGCTTCGCCATCTTCTGCAGTTCTTCCATTAAATACTACAGAAACTGGTTGCGACAAATTGATTGTTAACCTAAATTAATGAATTTTAGTCAAATTTAAGTACGAGTTCTATCGATTAAACTAGCTGCATGAAGACTGTCCGAACAGTCATTGTGAGCAATTAATGTTAGTGATTTTGTTGGATGCCCACAATCGTCAGACGCAAATGTGTCAGGATCATCGACCCTTTTCAATTAGCACCCTCCGCCCGTTCGAAGTGCGGCGCTACTCCTAAAGTACTGATAGTATAGTCGCTTAGTTTCTACTCATCGAATAACGATTATATTATATGCTGTAGGCCACTAATCTGACGAGGAAATCAGAGATGTTATGGAATTGTGCCAACCAGCAGTCCTCCTCCACACAGTCTTCGAGCAGCGATTATGAAGCACATTTATTTCCTGGCACAAATATAAATAGCAATACGGTTTGTTTTTTTTTTTTCTTTTTTTGAAGCCTACGGTGAAACATATAGTCCACAACTTTGATACATTCTGAACTTCGTCTCCGTGACATCAGCTGAGCAGTAACACTGTACCAAAAAAGATCACTCACTCCCTAGAATGCCTAGGTTCGTGTTAGAAAATTCAACCTAAGAGCGATATCAAAAAGATTATCGGGCGTGTTTGGCGACTTCATAATTGGGATGAGGTCACATCGAACAATATTCCGTTCGCCACACAAACGACGCGCAGTCGCCATTTTCGTATCGTTGCGAAGAAAACGTATCAAGTCACGTATGCTCTCTGCAAAATGTACGATTTTCAAAAAGCACGCTTACAATAAAGTCTTATTATAATTTTCATATTTTGTAAGGTTCATAATTTTCATGGTTTTTCATAAATCACTTAGTCTGTATGGGAGAAGTCAGTTTCCTTTCCTCAGAAAATACAGTATTTTATATTTCGGTTGCACGAAGCATAATCAATGAGATGGGTGGATCCCCTATCCTCACAACGAATCGATGAAAATGAACGAGCTGCTGAGCGGTGAAAATGGCAAGTATTCAATGAGCAAAGCAAGTTTATACCAAAGCAGTCCGGTTCCGGATAGTAGACGCCACTCTCCAGATATCCTAAAGCGCTGATCGTCGCCTGAACTACGGCCTCCATCTTCTGAAACTGATCCGCGAATTACTCTTTAAAGCTCCTTCTAACCGATGCGCTCGCCACTGCTAATTTCTATTATTATTATTATTACACTGACACGATGAAGCAGCACTGGACAACGATGGAAACTGCAAAATCGAGCGCTTCCCAATTGATTCACCGCAATCATCCACAGAAGATGGACAGGGTCCGAATGCAGCGCCCCAGCCCTGCTGACAGCAGGCGAACATCCCTTCCAGTAAGAAAACAAACGGCCGCGCGAGCACTTAAACAGCACACAGCCTGGAACTGAAAATACGGCACAGTCCCGCCACGATGCCTTCTAAACAGGCCTAGTGATGATCACCTGCGCAGTGCCGGTATCTGACCCGCCCTCCCGCCTCGTCCACTCTTGCCGCAGAGTAGCAGACGTACGGGAAGCAACTCGCGTGACGAAAAGCAGTCGGAAGCAGCCACCGGCCGACAACGCCACTCCTTTCTCGACAATTACGCAAAAGCGAACTGCTGGCGGATCTGCCTCCCCGGCTACCAATTTGCCATCGAAGTGATCGCACAGAGAGACCCCTCTTCGCACTCCACCAACAGCACTGCCCACCCAGCACCACAGAGTAAAGTGAAATCAAAACTGACTCGAAAAGCCCAATTCACAAATTAACCGAAACAACAACACACTGTTCAAATGTTCAAAACCCCATTCTGGCACATCGTTTGCAGCGCTCCTCCATTCGTGCTAGGACACAGCAAAATGCCGAAGGGTGCGGAGGGGGAAGGAGAATCACTAAACCTCGACTCGGC